GAAAAGAAGGACTAGGTGTGACACCATAGCAGTGTTCCAAATTTAAGAGGCTGCCACAAAGAAGAGGGGGATCAGTTTATTTTCCAAACCACCCAAAGGCAGGGCAAGAAGCAACAGATGGAAACTAACCAAGGAGAGAAGCAACCTGGAAATAAGGAGAAATTTCCTGACCGTGAGAAAAATTAACCAGTGGAACAGCTTGCCACCAGAAGTTGTGGGTGCTCCATCACTGGAGGCTTTTAAGAAGCGACTGGACAGCCGTTTGTCTGAAAGGGTAAAAGGACCTCCTGCTTGAGCAGGGGGTTGGACTAGAAGATCTCCAAGGGACCCTTCCAGCTTTCTGTAGTCTGTATTCTGGCTTAGAATGTGTCCTGCTTGGGTTTTTAGGAAGCCTGGAGATTGCAATGAAGTCTTCTCTGGGGCGCCATCGCTATCACTCTGGCTGGGCAGTTTTTGCAAACAAATCTGCGGTTTTCTAAAACCGAGGGGGGGGGGAGGGAGAGAGAGAGAGGAAAACGTTGCCTCTGTTTCCCCTGGCAGCTGTCTGGAACCAAATAGCTTTCTGAATGGAAGCCCATCAGTGTCTGGGTTTTTTTTAAAGGGCACCTTTCGAAATGGCTGGGGAAGTGATGACTGTTTTCAAATCTAATGGCTGCCACTAAAAGCTGTTATTATCTGGCTGTGGATCCATCGTGACAGGGAGAAATATATATATATATATATATATATATATATATATATATATATATATATATATATATATATATATATATATATATATATATATGCCAACGTTTGCTGGTTGTAGAAAACACTGGATTTGGCACGTCCCTGAAAGGTGTCTGTGTGTTGGGGGAGAGAGGTAACAGGGCTGAAAACCTAAATGCTTAGGGAAGAAGGCAAACTCTTGGCATCTGTTGGCATCTCCAACTAGGCGGTTGGTAAGGAGCATCTTTCTCCAGGCACCGTCTTTCCCCTTGCTCCCAAGCCGAGTGGAACTTCAGAAATCCTTCCCCCCCCCCACCCCCCCATTTATATTCTGCTGCTATGGATTACCTGTCAGCTATTCCAGGTAACTGCAGACAGGAATTCCAAACCATGAGCATGAATGCTAGCTTTTTTTTTTTTTTAGCACTTTGTCCCTCCCCTGCCTCTACTTTTCAGAGAACTAGGGAGGGTCCCCACTGAGAGGCTTGGCTCGGCCTCTTTGGACTCAGAATTTGTTTATCAGACCATGGTCTAAGCTGTGGCTTGTCTTTCTGTCTCCCAAGGTCATTTTCACAGCCTGTTATAGTGGGAGAGAGAGGGAAGGATGAGAGAGGGAAGGGAAGGAGGGAGAGAAAGAGAAGGAAGGGAGGGGTGGAGGAAGGGAAAGGAAAGGAGGGAAGGGAAGGAAAGGAAAGGAAAGAAGGAAAGGGAGGGAGGGAGGAGGGAGGGAAGGAAGGAAGGAAGGAAGGAAGGAAGGAAGGAAGGAAGGAAGGAAGGAAGGAAGGAAGGAAGGAAGGAAAAGACCAGCTCTTTGAGGTTTGTCAGAAGATCGCAAAAGGGATCACACGACCCTGGGACACCGCTACTGTCATAAATATGAGTCCGTTGGCAAACATCCAAATCTTGATCACGTGACCCCAGGAGATGCTGCAACGGTCCTAAGTGTGAAAAACGGTCCTAAGTCCCTTGTTTCAGTCCCGCTGTACCTTCGAACGGTCACTAAATGAGTTGTTGTAAGTTGAGAGTTACCTGTAGAATAGAATATGAATCGTGGGGATCGTGTGCCACAGCCCCAATTCGAGTAGATAACAGATTCATTGGCTCTAGCCACGTCTATTTCATCCCTGACTGTGGAACTGTAGCTTATTAATGGCCAAAGACACAATGCTGAGGCTTTTGCAAAATAATAATAATAAATCCGGGGAAAGTGGGCTCACCGAGTAGAAAATAAATGGATAATAATGATAGGCCCTCAGAGGCCAAACAAACCTTCGGCTAACAGATGGCGAGGAGACGAAAAGCCAGGAGGGTGGATGAACTCATGTTTCGCTAGCAGGAAGAGGGGTTGCTGGGATTGATCGGATCCTCGTTCTGATCCGAGAAAGTTCCTCTCATTTTGTTAAAAATAGAGCCTGCAGTTTCAGAGCAGAACAAGCTGTTAGAACTGTTAATGCCATTGCCCCTTCTGTCAAGATAACACAGGGAATCCCCATCTAAATGGGACTTGATCTTAAATTTGAATTCACCCGGGATTTCAGCATCTGATCTTTGCAGCAACCAATGTTTAGACATGAACGGTATGAGAATTAATGGCCTGATAAAAATAAAGCCATCTCCCTCTGTCACAAACCGAGTTGCTATGGCAAGGCAGAGCGCCAGACCATGTCTGCAGGGCGAGAGATTTTCTCTGGCCAGTCTGAAATCAGCTGGCTGATCCCTGACAGGCAGCCTTTAAAACTTACCTGACAGCCTGTATTAATTGCCCGTCTTTATATTTTATCAGCAGTGCAATAACACTTTCCATCCTAGCCAAGAATTTAATATCTGCCTTTGCTGGCTGGGGAAGATGGGGATTGTCACCTGCTTTCTGAGCTAGGATGTTTTCTTGCAGACGTTTCATAACCCAACTAGGTAACATCATCAGTGCTAGAAGGGAGTGGGGTTTGTGGGAAGGAAGAGGAGGAGAAGGACTGTGGGGTCCTTGGTGCTCTCTGAGCTTGGTTGTTTTCTTGCAGACGTTTCATAACCCAACTAGGTAACATCATCAGTGCTAGAAGGGAGTGGGGTTTGCTCTCAGTTTATATTTTAGGGGCTTGTCCTGGGGTGGTCTCAGAAGTTCTTTGCTCGGGCTGTTTACTGTTGGCTTCTTTGGCAGCTTCTTGATTGGGTCTTTGATTACTTGATTGTTGGCCTGATGTTAATCTTAGATTTAATCTATGCTGATTTGGGTGCCGATTGCTGGTGGAGAGATGCTTGGATCTTTTTGTTTGTTTTTGGGCTGGGCGATTGTCCCTTTTGCTAGTCTACAGATGTTTTGCTAGATGTTTTGAAGGGCTTTCGTTGGCTTGTGACTGGAAAAAAAACGCAGGTAGGGACATAAATTACAAAGAAGGTTTATTTTGCTTATCCAAACAAATCAAGCAATTGATTTGGTAAGGGGTGGAAAAACACAGGAAAACAAACACGATAAGGAGGTTCCAACATGAAATGCCTTTTCTTTTCGTTTTGCCATTGTTCTCCCGTCTATGTTTCCTTCTCCTCTTTAGTTCACACCCCATGGCTCTAGAAGAGCTAGTGAGCTGAGATGGATACATTAACTTCTTTGATTAGAGAAATGACATTAGCGGCTTTTATTGGTGACTGGAAACCTCCGGTGGACTTTTTGCATAAAACAGGAGAAAAAAATTGAGCCTGTGATTTATGGCTTTGATGATGAGACAGGATGGATTACAGAAAGACGAGGGTCATGATGGAACTCCGGGGAGAGATTACAATATAATTGCAATTATAACTGCTGGGAAGTATATTGGAAGTTACTTCTTTGCCTGTTTTTTCTTTCTTTTCTATTCTACTTCGACTTTTCTTTTCTTGCTTTCTCTCTGCTTTCTTTCTTTTTCTTTTTTCTTCTTTACTTGATATTAGTTGGTATTCATTTTTATCTTTTTTCTCTATCTCTCTATCTCCCTGCCTCTCTGCCACTCTGTCTGTTTCTCTGTCTCCCTATATTTCTGTCTCTCTCTTTCTATCATATCTCTATCTATCTATCTATCTATCTATCTATCTATCTATCTATCTATCTCTATCTATCTATCTATCTATCTATCTATCTATCTCTTTTTCTCTTCTACCTATGTATTTCTCTCTTTATTTTTCTATTTCTATCTGTCTGTCTGTCTGTCCATCTGTCCATCCGTCCATCCGTCTATCTATCTATCTATCTATCTATCTATCTATCTATCTATCTATCTATCTATCTATCTATCTATCTACCTACCTACCTACCTATCTATTATCTATCTATCTATCTATCTATCTATCTATCTATCTATCTATCTATCTATGCATATCTGTCCATCCATCCATCCATCCATCCATCCATCCATTTTTCTCGATCATCTGGACTTATTCCGTACAGGTTTTCCTGTACATAATACCAGCTCTTTGCTTGTGCCATCCGGTGTAGGCTGTTCCTGCCTGCCTCTTACACCCTGCCACTGTGTATTGGGCTGTCTCTGAGGCCTCTCTGCATAGCAGCTGGGTAGAGCAGTAGTGAGAAAATCCACCCCCAAAACCTGCTTAGTTGTGAATGGGAACACTCAGTTTTACAGACACAGGGAGAGAAACTCCAGGGAAAGATGAATAATTGTAACCTTGCATCCAAGCCCAGATTCCACTCACTGTAATCCTCAAATCTCCCTGGAAGCTCTATAAATAAATTAGTGCTTGAAATAGAGATTTTGGCCTGCTGGCTGCACAGAACATTAGCTGAAATATCTGCAAGTACTTCAGGAAACACCGTGGAACTGTCCAGGCAGCCTTCCTTCTTTGCCAACTCATCTATGAACCACATGCCTGCCTTTGTAGCCCAGGCTAAACTTGGCTTGTTTTAAATTTTGGATATTTTGTGTGTGTGTGTGTGTGTGTGTGTGTGTGTAGGAGGGGGCTTAGCATGGGTGAATCCAAGCCCTGGAGGTAGCTTATGCATCAATTGCAGAATATCGCTTAGTCCAATTAAATGCATTGGGGGAAGCCAGCCACTGGAAGTCATTTGAAGGTCCTGGAGTTGCTATCCATGTAAACTGTTCCAAGTAGAGCTGCCTTTTGCCAATGATTGATGGGGATTTTGTCCGTGCTGACAATGGCATTCGAGTGGTGCTCCAGATGTTTTGGGAAGGCCTAGGGGGAACAAATAGGAAAAATTGAAGGAAAAAACAATCAGGGTATTTTTCCAAAGCCATTTGGAAAAAATGAAATATATATACATGGTTTTTTCCCTCCCCCAATTTTTCCAGTTTTTTTCCCCAGCCCTTCCCATCTCTAGTTCCACGTAAAGCGGGCCTTTTGCCATTAGAGACGGTGGTGATTTTGCAAACCCTTCTGTAAACTGCAGACAGTGGAACATTCTAGACTTGGGAAAGTTGACAGACAAGAAAACTGAAACATGCCAAGAAGAATCTCAAGGAATATTGCAAAAGAAGACACAAGGTAGGACTGTGTTTTTTTTTCTTCACCGACGTAAATCACAGCTCTCCTCCTTGACTGGAGACAGGCTTTTATGCAAAATGCCACACTTGCGCAATTGGCGTGAAGCCCTTCCATTGTTGGGAGAGACATGCAAATAACAGCCAGGGGTTCATCAGCTGTCACCAGCAGGCCAGGCATCCTTGCTAATATCTGCAAGGTGTCATTATATCCCTCCCAATTGTCAGCCATCGTTGGAGGCTGGACATTTCTGCGATAATGTAATTCATGCTCCTTGCCAAATGTAGCTGAAAGCTGTGTCGGTTTAAAAAGAGGGGTTCCGTAAAGAGAGAATGGGTGGACAAAAGCTGATGTTTTGTTCTTTTTGCCTTAAAAAAATAGCACGAGGGAGGGAGGGAGGGAAAGAAAAGACGGCTGCACATTGGCTCACAGAAATCAAGGCTTGGACTGTCAAGAGCACTTCAAAGTTATCAGCTTTGGATGTAAGCAGGCCTTGACTTATGACCGTTCATTTAGTTTTGAAGACAGGACAAGAAGCAACCGATGGAAACTAATCAAGGAGAAATCCAGGCTAGGACTAAGGAGGAATTTCCTAAATAGTGAGAATAATTAACCAGTGGAACAGCCTGCCTCCAGAAGTTGTGGGTGCTCCAACACTGGTAGTTTTTAAAGAAGAGATTGGACAACCATTTGTCTGAAATGGTATAGGGTCTCCTGCCTGACAGCGAGGACAATTATCCAGTGGAACAACCTGCCTCCAGAAGTTGTGGCTGCTCCACTACTGGAGGCTTTTAAGAAGAGTCTGGACAGCCTTTTGTCTGAAATGGTATTCGAGTACGGGGTTGGACTAGATGACCTCCAAGGTCCCTTCCAACTCTGTAATTCTATGTTCTATGTTTTAAATCCTTTTGTCACGAATTGGGCAGGGGGCATTTATAAGTCTGCAGCCCAGTTTATTTCCAATTTTTCAGCAACTTCCCTTCTTTTTTTTTTTTTAATGCCTGGCCTTCCAGCTCCAGAGACATATCTCATGCCAAATGACTTTAAAAAGGGGGTAAAAAAATAAATTTAATTCTAATCATGGTGTTCCCATGATTGCCACTTCCCATAAAGGGGGGTTGGGGTCAGTGAGACGATCTTGGGGACGTCATCTCCTTGTGACTCCCCTTTCCATTATTCCTGTCACACCAGCCTCGCTGCTCTCCCCATTATTTGTCAAAAAAAAATATGAAATGTTACCACGAACAAACCAATTAAGATCTGAAATGGGCTTCACGTTCCCCAACTCTGTTCTGGTTCAGGTTTGAAAAGGAGAAATCTATGCAGGATTGTGGGAGAGGGCCAGCTTGCTTCACTGGAGCCCAGCATCTCAATAATGTAGCGGAGAACATTTGTAATGATGTCCTAAAATATTAAACAAAAAAGCTTCTTATTTATTTTTTTCCCTCCCCCATCTGTGGGCCTGTTTTCGTTATATCCATCTCCCGGTTTCTGTGGTGGACAGATGGGAAATTATGGTTGGTTGCACCATCAGCCAGATGTTCTGTCTGGATTTGGCGTTTTTTTGTCCACCCATCAGTCCTTCCCAAGGACCTGGGAGAGGCAGATGTTGTTGACTGATGGTGTCAGAGGCCCGTTGCAGGATGTCAGTTGTTTCAAGTCAAGCTGCCTTTTGTAATTGACTGATGGGGATTTTGTCAGTGCCGACGGTGTTCAAGGGGTGCTCCAGATGTTTTGGGATTGCACCTGACTATTGGTACCATCTTTGTTTTCTTTGGCCATCGCTGTTCGACTTCTATTTGCAGGCCTTTGTGTTTTATGACTTGGATACAGGAGAGAATATTTGCAGCTCAGAGTCCTTGGTACTCTCTGAGCTTGGTGGTTTTTTTGGTAGATGTTTCAATACCTAACTGGGTAACATCATCAGTTCTAGAAGGAAGAGGGGTTTGCAGAAAGGAGGAGGAGGAGGAGGTGGTGGTGGAGGAGGAGGAGGGTGGGATCCTTGGTGCTCTCTGAGCTGGGTTGTAGGGCCAGGCAAGGACCACTTCAGAATAGTTTCCATGGAGCAAAACTAAAAGAATCACAGCCTGTGATTAAACGTGTATTTATTAAACTTTTTTTTATATAAAGAAAATACAGTAAAAGAGAGCTTCAGAACAGAGAAACGGCTTCAGTTTCCTAGATCTGTTTGGCCATAAAGTTCTTCTTTAAGTTAATAAAGTTAGCCAGCAGAGCTCCAATTTCTGCTTTTATCACAAGATTGATGTCACCTTTCTCCAAGAGAAGCGCCTGCAAAGGATCGTTCCAGGCCACGGAAGATGGCCTGGAGACCCGCCACGGGCTCGGGGTGGTGAGAACCATGATGGATGTTCTTGATTAGAGGCAAAGGGTTACTTCAACCTTGCAGCGGGCTTCTTGCCTGTATTTAGCAGGTGGACCACAAGGACAAGCACCCGTCTGGGAGAGGAAGAAGACATTGTATTTTTTCCGCCAGGCTGTTAATCAGGAAGTGACAGGCATCATCTTTGGCAGTGCAGCCTTCCATAAAGATTGTGGGCCTCTCATCATCTTCCCGCTGGCAGGAAGAAGCTGTCCCAGGCATCCAAAGTTGGGGAGGGAGATTGCGAGGCTTGACAGAATCGCCCCCTCGAGGCAGGGAAAGGGATGGGTGGGGCAGGAAACAAGGGAAGGAAGGAAGGAAAACAAAGAAGGAGGGAGGAAAGGAAGAGAACAAAGAGGGAGGGAGAGAGGGAGAGAGAGAGGAAGGAAGGAGAACAAAGAAGGAGGGAGGGAGAGAGAGAGGAAGGAAAAAAGAAGGGAGGGAAGGAGGAAGGAAAGGAGGAGAACAAAGAGGGAGGGAGGGAGGGAGGAAGGAAAACAAAGAAGGAGGGAGGGAAGGAGGGAGGAAAGGAAGAGAACAAAGAGGGAGGGAGGGAGAGAGAGAGGAAGGAAGAGAACAAAGAGGGAGGGAGGGAGAGAGAGAGGAAGGAAAAAAGAAGGGAGGGAAGGAGGAAGGAAAGGAGGAGAACAAAGAGGGAGGGAGGGAGGGAGGGAGGAAAGGAAGAGAACAAAGAGGGAGGGAGGGAGAGAGAGAGGAAGGAAAAAAGAAGGGAGCTAAGGAGGAAGGAAAGGAGGAGAACAAAGAGGGAGGGAGGGAGGGAGGGAGGGAGGAAGGAAGGAAGGAAGGAAGGAAGGAAGGAAGGACAGGTTCATGTCCTCTCAGTAACCATTTGCCCATCTGTAGACAAAACATTTTTTAAAAAATATCTCTCTGTTTTACATTTTTAAAAAAAATTAAAAGGAAAGACCAAAACAAAACCCCGCAAACCAGCCAGGCAGTAAAAGAGAAGAAAGAAAACAGATGGCCGTTGTGTGGAAACCAGGGGGAAAAGAACAAGAGAACGAAGTCCTCCAAAGAACAGCCCTTGCAGGCTGGCATTGCCCAATCTCGGGGCACCTCCTGGGCACCCCCCTTTTCAGGCCTGAGAGGGAAGATGGCACTCACGGTGAGAGACACCCCCCCCCCCGCCCCACTGTCGTCTGAAGATAGATGTGTTGCTGGCTACGGGGAGCAAGAAGCGGTGGGAGCTGCCGTCAGCCCACCTTGCAATCCTCTGGCTGGCTCCGATGTAAACCTTAGAGGTGGGAGGGAAGGGTTAGATCAAAATGTAATTTTCTTTTTTGCAAGCTGAGGTGGGCAATCTGCCCCAGGGCCTTCTAGCAACCACTTCTTCTTGGCAAACGATGCTCATAAAAAGGTCAGACTCGGCTGGAGGGAGAAATGGTGGACGTTACACAGGGGGAGGAGGAGGAGGTGGTATAAATGGTTGATAGAAGGTGACCAGATGCTCTTCCTGGTGGTTTCCCCTCCAGTTTAGGTTAAAGTCCAAGGACCTGGCTCTCGGTAGTTAGGGAACACAGAAATGACAGAGTCGGAAGGGGCTTTAGAGGTCTTCTAGTCCAACCCCCTGCTCAAGCAGGAGACCCTCTACCATTCCAGACAAACGATTGTCCAGTCTCTTCTTAAAAACCTCCAGTGGTGAAGCCCCCACAACTTCTGGAGGCAAGCCTGATCAATTGTTGATTCATTGATTAACAGTTAACTGATTAATTGTTCTCGCCGTCAGGAAATTTCTCCTTAATTCTAGATTGGATCTGAGATAACAGAGTTGGAAGAGACCTTGGAGGTCTTCTGATGAGAGAGGAGGAGGAAGAAGAAGAAGAAGAAGAAGAAGAAGAAGAAGAAGAAGAAGAAGAAGAAGAAGGAGGAGGAGGAGGAGGAGGGAGGAGGAGGAGGAGGAGGAGGAGGAGGAGGAGGAGGAGGAGGAGGAGGAGGAAGCTCACTTGCCTTGATTAAACAGATTTTTCTTGCGTGCTTGAGAGCTCACGGAAATCACCCCCTGCTCTTCTCATCCATCCTTCCTTGCAAATGGATGCTGGAAGTTTTGGTTGCAGGCTAATGTGGTGTGAAGTAGCTCAGAAGAAAAAAAAAAAACCTCGGGAAGGAAGTACAAATGAAGGACTTTGGGGAGGATTGCCGCATTCAGCTTTGATTGCCACATGATGGGCTGCTGGCAGATGTCACCCCCTCTCTCTCCCCCCCCCAACCCTTGCTTCCTGAAATTTCAATTTTGAGAAGGAGACCGTGCAGAATGCATAAGGGAACAGAGAGATCACGGGAGAGTCTGGAAGATCCACCTTTATCTAGGTAGAATGAAGTTGTCCAAGATACATACGGTAGAGACCTTGTGGAGGACTATGGGGTTAGGCAAGCATTTGTGGTTTAATACAGGTGAGAAGAAGGGAATTAGCACGTTCACTGCCACAGAGGGCAATTGACAGCTTCATAATGAAGGGAAGGACTAGGGATGGTGCGATAGAAGTCCTTCAGGACCTGAGGGGCTGACTCAGAGAAGAGGGGGTCAACCTAGTCTCCAAAGCAACTGACGGCAGGATAAGAAGCAATGGATGGAAACTGATCAAGGAGACTTCCAACCTAGAATTAGGGATAAATTTCCTGACCGTGAGAACAATTAATCAATGGAATGGCTTCCCTTAAGAAGTTGTGAGTGCTCCATCACTGGAGGTTTTCAAGAAGAGATTGGACAGCCATTTGTCTGGAATGGAATAGCGTCTCCTGCTTGAGCAGGGGGCTGGACTAGGAGACCTTGAAGGTCCCTTCCAACTATTCTATTCTATTCTATTCTATTCTATTCTATTCTATTCTATTCTATTCTATTCTATTCTATTCTATTCTACTCTACTCTACTCTACTCTACTCTACTCTACTCTATATACTCTACTCTACTCTACTCTACTCTATATACTCTACTCTACTCTACTCTACTCTATATACTCTACTCTACTCTACTCTACTCTATATACTCTACTCTACTCTACTCTATATACTCTACTCTACTCTATATACTCTACTCTACTCTACTCTACTCTACTCTACTCTACTCTACTCTACTCTACCCCATCCCATCCCATCCCATCTTTCACACAAAAGTGAGCTCAATCCAGAAACTTTAATTCTATCATTTTTTTCTATAGTACTATCCCTCCCTCCTGGGTTTTAAATGAGAAGCATTAAGGTGTCTTCCTAAATTCACTGAGTATCTGTGTCTTCCTCAATACACTATCACTGCTCAGATACATCTGGCAGAGGAGAAAGCTTGGATTCTATGAATCATTTGGGCTTAATCATCATGAGTCCAACTGCTAATCGTAAAACATTTATGACTCCACCAAATAAATAGCAAATTTCAAGAGCAGACTATTTCCATTTAAAGCACTAATGAAATGTGAAAAGGGCTTTTTTTTTTCCTCAGCTATCTGATAGCTACGTTTGCATATTTTGAAGTGCTTCCATTTGTGGCTAATGCGAAGGCCCATAAAAGTGGGCTAAATGTACATTTTATTAAAAGGCTAAAGTTTTGTAGGTAAAGAGTGGCAGAGGCACAAAATTAGCCACACTTCCTATCTGTTGGAGGTTACACAATTGCCTGATTGATGTAACCGAAAGTCATCTCTGCATGGATGTTCAAATGTCGGTTTAGTTGGATGGAAACTCTGTTCACTATTTATTAATTAACAATGAAATCTGAGTGAGATCATAGACTGGGAAAGGCCACTTCAACCAGTAAGTTTACCATAGAACATAGACAACTTTATCATTCTGGACAAATGACTTTGCTTCTGCAAAGAACTTTTCTTTCTGAATCAGTTTCTGACTTTTGGATGGGACGGTTTGATTCGGACATGGAGACGGCGCTGGGTCAGTTTTATAAACCGAACTGAAAACTCAGCTTGAGCCAAAGCACCCAAGGGATCTGAATCCTTGATCTGAACGCGATTTTGGATAGATGGATAAATGGACGGAGAAGCGTTTGCGCCTACTTTATAATTAAGCGATCACTCTAGCCTAGCATTGACTATTCAAGGAAAGAGCAGGAAGGTCAAAGATCTGGAGTAAAAGTAATTTCCTAGATAGATTCTGAGTTTATCTGTCACGGAGAAATCCGAAATGGACTTTCTGATTATGTTCTCCCAGTGAGCTATGGATCTCATTAGCTCAAAATGCAACCGGTAATGTATAGATTCATGGACTGTCTCCAACGGTATGCATTGGTATGATAAATAACGTGGATTAAAGTGATAAAATGAAAAGATTAAGCTAGACAGCAATGGACTGGAAGACGTTTGCTTTGAGGGGTGTTTTTTTTTCCTCTTCCCCTCTCCCTTTTCTTCTTTAAATAGCAGAATGCCGTTTATTGGTTCAATTAATTGTTTAAACTGCCAAGCGGATGAAAAGTAGTGGGGACTAAACAGATGCTGATCACGATTCAATAGTCATTAAGGAAGAAAAAGGAGTCATTTCCTATGCATGATTAACTTCTGCCAGCCAATGTTTCATAAAGCAGATGATCAGAAGAGGATTAATTGCTCCACAAATAGCCTCTTTGATAGCTGGGGGAATGTCAGCCCGTGACTTGGCTCTGCTACCACGTGTAAAGTTTTGAGTTAGCGAGACTTGACACAACAGAGCCATCCCTGATCTCAACTGTGTGTATAATGGTGTAATTGTGAGAGGGATCTAGGTGTCTTGGTGGACCACCTCTTAAGGCTGAGCCAGCTGTGTGCTGCAGCTGCCAAAAAAGCCAACGCACTCCTAGCCTACAGAGGGATAGTATCAAGGTTGTGTGAAGTGTTTGCATCCCAAAGGCGCTTTCTGAAAAGGTAATTGGATTTTCTTTGCTTTTCCCAGAAGACCTTTCGCTTCTCATCCAGGAAGCTTCTTCAGTTCTGATGGGAGGATTTTTCTCCTCCGCCATTCAGCCAGAAGCATAGAAGCCTTTTCAAAAACTCACCTTTGAGAAAAACCGTGATCTGGATGACGGAGAATCTCCACAGACATTCGTATGGCTTTGTACTGCTTTGGTAAGGTTACACTCAGAGGACGGCTATCTAGTTCTGGTTGACACGAGGGGGGAAAGACGCTGAGATGCAGAGAAGAGCAACAAAGATGATTAAGGGCCCGGAGGCTAAAATGTACAATGAATGTTTGAGGGAACTAGGCATGTCTAGCTTAACGAAGAGAAGGATCAAGGACGACTTGATAGCAGTCTTTCAGTATTTGAGGGGCTGCCACAAAGAAGGGGGGGGGGTTCAACCTATTTTCCAAAGCACCTGAAGGCAGGAGAAGAACTAATGGATAGAAATCCAGGAGAGAACCAATCTAGAAATAAGGAGAAATTTCCTGACAGTGAGAACAATTAACCAATGGAACAGCTTGCCTTCAGAGGCTGTGGCTGCTCCATCACTGGAGGTCTTTAAGAAGAGACTGGACAAGCATGGGTCTGAAATGGTATAGGGTCTCCTGCTTAAACAGGGGGAGTTGGATTAGATGACCTCCAAGGCCCCTTCCAACTCTGTTCTGTTCTTATTTTAGCCTAGTTCAGAAGACTTTGCAAACCAGGTGTCTGCCGGTCAAGTCCTCCTTTCATCTTCCGCCCGTATGGGATTAAACGAGTTTCGAACAAAAGGTGAGATGATCCCATTTTGTTGGAACATCACGGCTGAATAAAAACCCTTTCTCCCCTGGTGGAAGGCCCTACCTCCATTTTCTGGCCACCGATTCTCGAAAAGGAACACGCCAAATGCCTGCCGCTTGCTTCTCCCCGCCCTCCCCAGCAGCTGTTTGGTTATAGATAAAAACTGCCCATCAGGACGCCGTCTATCTCCATTTGCTCAGGATGTGGGTCTCACTGGGTGCCCGAATAGATATTTCAAAACGAGGCCCATAAATCTCAGACACTCTCTCTTCACAAAGGAACTGACCCCCATCAAAGCAGCTGCGTTTAGAACTTCCGACTGCTTGGGGGGGAAATGGAGCATCGGAGCGCAAAACATTATCTTTGCCAAGGGAAAGGAAAAGAGGAGGCGGGCAAGCCAGGTTTTATTGCAGCTTCTCTCCTGGGAACATCTGGCGATTGTCTGGATCAAGAACACAGCTGATATTCCTGGTTTTTTTTTTTTTCAGGAACAGAGGAGGAAGGAAACCCACATAAAAATTATTCCCCTTTTTGTACATACAGGTGGGTGGATGTGCCCTTGACCCATCACGAAAGAAGGACTAAGGATTTTCTGACACCCATTTTTCCCCCCACACGGGGATGCTGCAAGGGTGTGTAAGGATGGAAAAAACGGTGGTAAGTTCCCCTCCTTTTTTCCCCCAAGGCCATCGTAACTTGGAACGGTCAGTAAACGAAGCGTTGTGAGTTGAGATCAACTTGTATTTTATTTATATGGTCTTATTGTTTTAATACTGTAAGCTGCCCAGAGCGATCCTGTAGTCAGATGGGGCGGCCAATAAATTTAATGAACCAATAAAGGCAGGACAAGAAGCAAGGGATGGAAACTAATGAAGGAGAGAAGCAGCCTAGGACTAAGGGGGGATTTCCTGAGAGTCAGAACAACTTGCCTCCAGAAGTTGTGAATGCTTTGAAGTTTTATTTTAAAGAAGAGATTGGACAACCGTTTGCCTGAGATGGTATAGGTCCTCCTGCTTGAGCAGGGGGCTGGACTAGAAGACCTCTATTCTATTCTATTCTATTCTATTCTATTCTATTCTATTCTATTCTATTCTATTCTATTCTATTCTATTCTATTCTATTCTATTCCTTATTCTGTTCTGTTCTGTTCTATTCTATTCTATTCTATTCTATTCCTTATTCTGTTCTGTTCTATTCTATTCTATTCTATTCTATTCTATTCTATTCTATTCTATTCTATTCTATTCTATTCCTTATTCTATTCTAGCCATCAGCGATGGACTGAATTGGGAAGAAACTTTGCCAGCAGCTACCTGAAATAGGAAAAGGAGGGGGGGGTGTGGCTGAAACCTTCTCTGTTAATTGAGATGTTTGCTTGAAGCCAGCCAGCCAGGCGCTTCCAGCATTGCTCGTGCGATGATTAGCGCTGGTTATCAGCAGCATTGAGCTCCTGTTCTTCTGGGTTTTGCGATGACTGGGGCTGGTTTCCTCCATCAATGGAAAACCTGGTTCCTCCAGGCTAGAGAGAAAGCCTGGCTTCATTCATTTCCAACAAAGGAAGTTGGCAAAGTGTCTCTCAATTAGATTTCTCAGGTCAAACATCGTCCTTTTAGAAAAGGGTGACATATATCCCATTATCAAACCCAGTTTGTTTCTGCCTGGGTTAGCCAGACAAGAGGCATGAACTGTCAGTCGGTTGCCGAGCAGCTAAGTTGCGATCATGTGACTGCAGGGGGTGGCCTGACAGTCGTTAAATGAGGATACAGATCCTAAGTCGCTTTTTTCAAGTTTGGAGGTCATCTTCAACCTTTGTTCAACAGACCGTTGTAAGCCGAGGATGACCTCCAGTCCACGTTGTCTGGATTGGCTGCCTAAGAAAGGCATCACAATATGTGTGCAACCTGGGAGACGACACTACAACCTCTGGCAGCTAATTAGATTTAGAATGCAAATCCAAATTGTAAAAAAAAGCAGCCTGGGGGTTGGAAGGAAAGCGAGGGCCAAACAATTAAAACAAAAAACAAAAACAGGAATGGTGTCCTTCAACGCCACTGAAAGCATTTGCACAATTGTACACGCATGTGTATACAGGGAATAACCGCGGATGAGTGCAATCCAAGAAGATTTCTATGTAGGATTTTTAGGAGATAGAGCAGCAGAAGGGGTGGAGCAGGCTGAGGGACATCTTGACGCTTGCACATATATTGCACGTAGTAATGAACGCACTTCCCGCATGTTGCCCCATTGTAGTTTCAATGGGGCAAAATGCCGACTGAGAAATTCTGGGAGTTGAAGTCCACAAGTCATAAAAGGGCCAAGTTTGAAGACCCCTGGATTAGTGGGTGAGATGATAGATGTCTTCCAGTACTTGAGGGGCTATCATAGAGAAAGAGGAGGGGGTCTCTTATTATTCTCCAAAGCACCAGAGGGGCAGGACAAGAAGTAATGGACGGAAGATCATTAAACCCAGATCCAACTTAGAACTAAGGAGAAATTTCCTGAGAACCTCATCGCTTGTCTTCCTGAATCTTTGTTACAGTAGAGGTACCTATTCTCACCTCTCTTCTCTTTTTCTACTCCCATCGCCATTCCTAGTTGCCTGGTTACTGGAGGCTTCAAGAGACACTCCGAGGCTAACAGGCAACCCAGATACACAACACTCAGCTCTTCTCCTTCCTTTTGTGCAGCGCAATTCACTTGCTTTTCCCATCCAGCTCCCCTCGCAGAAATTCTCCTGGTTTAATTTATTTGGGTATCGCTTTCCACCTCCTTGGTGCATTTGCAAACACACATTCACAACTTCTGGAGGCAAGTTGTTCTACTGGTTAAAATTGAGAACAATTAATTGATGGAACACATTCAAATGCACTTTCAATCAATGCAACAACTTGCCTCCCCCGGCTTATGGGGAGGTTTTCAAGAAAAGATTGGGTAACTGTTTGTCTGGGATGGTGTAACTCTCCTGCCACGGGCAAGGGTTGGACTAGAAGAGCTCCAAGATCCCTTCCAGTCCTTTGATTCTACGCCTTCTGATGCCCCAGTGTGGAGATCTTCAAATGAACTTCAAGGGAGTCTATGGATCAAGAAAAGATGGAGCCATTTAAATCACAATTCCTCCCTTGTTATGATGCTGCCGAGAGTCCTGTACCATTTTACATTTTGTAATTAAAGAGGAGGAACAGATGGAGGTTGCCATAACAAAAGCAAGGAGTCTATTAAAATAATATTTGCACCTCTTCTATTGTCTTGCAGTTGTGAGAGCTCTTTGTCACTCAGGTTGTCTAATGAGCACCATCACACCTGATTCTGGTCACGCCAACTCTTATTTACAAGGAAAAAAACAAAACCCTTATCGTCTCAGCGTTACAAGGTGAGGGAAAGAATGAGAAATTGTGGAATCCATAAAAGGATTCTGCAAGACACTTCGGTTCGTTACAAGGTGGTGTTTTATATCACTGGGTGACAACCAGCTCCCCTGGGAACAAATATGCATCAATTTATCCTCTGCACAAAAATCCCCCCCCCCTTTAAGAAAAAAGAAAAAAGAAAGAAAACAATTTCTCACCTGCTTTTATGATGGATCTTCTCAACTGTTAACTTTTCATGCAGTCAGTTGTATCACTCTGATTCAGTTTGGGTACCAGATGTAGGAGGATTCAAGCTGGTCATTTTTTTCTAAAGTGTATTATGAAACTGATTAGAAAAGAATAAACAGCACTGAGCCATTCTTTTAGAGATTTTTTACTTGTCTAAACAGAGAAACAGCATGACTACGGATGGACAAAAAGAAGCAACAGGAAAGGGAGAGACCTTTGACTTCCTGGTGGCTTCCCCATTGATTTTGCTTGTGGGAAGCTGGAAGGGAACATAGAAAACCAAGACATAAAATGGGCATAAGACTGTAATAGTTACCTAAGGTGAGAAGGACTGCATTATCCTGATGTTAAGGAACAGATTCAAGAGCATCAAGCTTCGAAGCATCTGTGTATTCTAACAATTAGAAGATGGAAGAGGCTTCTCCACGAACGAGATTGAATAATACATTGAAATTGAATTAATCTTATAGGAATCTTATTTTCCCTTCTTCCTAGTTTCTTTTACTCTGCTTTCTTTTACTTTGCCTGAACGCGGAGCGGGAGTCCAAGATCCCTGCCAACTCTGTTGTTCTGTATTCAGATCCTTCACCCCACTTTTCCCGATCTTGCAAGAGCCTTTTATAACAATGCATTTTAACCACCGATGGGGTTGGATGTGTCAATGGCTCCAGCAAGCAGAACTAATCTGAACAGATGAGGTGCTGTTTTCATCCGTGAAACTCAGCTTGTTCTTCAGGACAATTAGGCCAAAGGAAATCTCCGGAGATAACAATCTGTTCAGGAGAGGAGGTGGTGGCTGTTGGGATCAGAGGTACAGGGCTGAAATCCAGGGTTTTCTGATCACAGGAGCTGAGCTGGGCCAGGATGGGGGTTAGAACTGTTAACAAAACACTAGAGCAAGTACCCAAGATTCAGGAATTCATCCTTCAGGTTTATTTTTGTAAAAAACAACAGAAATGATCAGGGGTCTGGAGGCTAAATCTATACAATGAACAGTTGCAGGAACTCAGAATGTTCTTCTTTCTAGAGAAATAAATGGCATCTTTGAAGGGCCCCAGTTCACGCCGATGGGCTGATTCAGTAAAGAGTAGATATAGGCCATCAATAGCTATTGAAGCAAGGAGCTTCAAACTTCTAACGAGTACATAGAAGAGCAATAAAGTTGATAAAGGGCCTGCAGGCTAAATTGTAGGATGAATGGTTGAAGGAACTAGGTACGTCTAGTCTAACGAAGAGAAGGGGTCGGGGTGACATGATAGCAGTACTTCAGGGGCTATCACAGAGAAGATGGGGATCAACCTCTTCTCCAAAGCACCTGAAGGAAGGACAAGAAGCAACAGGTGGAAATTATTCAAGGAGAGAAGCAACCTGGAACTAAGGAGAGACTTCCTGACAGTGAGAACAATTAACCAGTGGAACATTTTGCTTCCAGAAGTTATGGGTGCTCCATCATTGGAGGTGTTGAAGATGAGATGAGACAGCCATTTGTCTGGGAATGGTTTAAGACTTCCTGCTTGAGCAGGGGGTTGGACTAGAAGACCTCCAAGGTCCCTAGGTTCTATCTTCAGCCCCCAGGACAAAGGTGGCCTCTCTTGTTTTGCTGTGATGACATTTGTGTCGGTGGAGGAGGACTTGGAAATATTTCCCTTTAATCCAAATTGTCTCTCTGCTCACCGCCCGGTCTAAATAGTCTCATTGCTTTGGGGGAGAAAAATCTTGGGAGGAGACACCTCGAACCACGTCAACTTAATCTTTGGAGCATCGCCTGTTTGCCATTCAGTTGTTCCACATCTCATTTCTCCTGGGCTGCAGCATCCCATCTCTGCAATATGTTAACCATCAAGCAAATAAATAGAGAACACCCAGCAAGTGAGCTCCACTAGGAACATTGATTTCATATAATGCACCATTTATTTTCAATTATCGTGGTGCTTTCTGCTCCTTCTCCGGTGCCTCCTCTTCTTCCCTTCCAATACCCTTGCTGGTGCGTTGGTGACTTTGAACAGTCACTAAACAAATAAGAGCGCTTCCAATATTTCTAGAATTAAGAAGCTAGCTTGAAGAGAGAATGCAGGAAGGGATCACTGTTGGCCTTGATTAGTTCTTCAGCAAGCCTTGGGGTTGTGAGCATCTGGCACTTAAGTGTGCCCTTGAAGATCCCATTTTGTACAAGAGTGTGCAAACACCCGGGTCTTTTGTGCAATAAAACCCTTTTCTGTCCACCCTGAGAAGGCCAGAAATTATAACTTGCTGGGCTTTGTTAGCATCCTTAAGGCTCTGTGTATCCCTGCCCTCATCCATCTTCCAGGCCTGTGGTTGTCCTGCAGTTCTTTAGTCAATGTCATGGGCAGGAATTCTTTATTTCACTTTGCAAGATGGAACTCAGCTGCTTTACTGCATTCTGCCTAATATTTGCTTTTCGCCTGCCTGCCTGCCTGCCTCCCTCCCTCCCTTCCTGCCTCTATCTATCTATCTATCTATCTATCTATCTATCTATCTATCTATCTATCTATCTATCTATCATCATCCGTCTCTCTATTTACTTATCATCTATAGTCTGTCGGTCGTCTGTTTGTCTGTCTGTCTATCTATCTATCTATCTATCTATCATCTATGATCTATATATCTCTATCATCATCTAGTTCTATCATCTATGATCTAGTAGTCTATATCTAACTGTCTGTCTGTCTGTCTGTCTGTCTGTCTGTCTGTCTGTCTGTCTGTCTGTCTGTCTATCTATCTATCTATCTATCTCCTCTTAGCTTTTAAAATTATTATTTTATATTCCATGCCTCTTATGATGGTCTATAACTAACAATAAAGATTTAACTGAGAGAACTTTTGTTTTTTTCTAAAAGAACTATACCAAGAGCTTTTGTGCTGTTTTTTTTCTTTTCTTTTCTTTTTGGAAGTCACCTGTGTCGCTGTCGTGAGTTCCCAAGACCTGAAAAATGGGCACAGATGGCAAACGGTTTGGGGCAGCAAGGGCAAAAAAGGTTCACAAACCTCTCAGAAGCAAGTAATATTCGTCATAACTAATTATTTCTTTTTATTTTTCAGGGAAAGCCTGCACTAATGAAACACAGCTGCACACTAATGTTTAGTTCTGCAAAGCAAAAAAGAAAAAAAAACTTCTGGATTGAATGTGTTGCCCTTTTCTTTCACAAACCACAGGCTGTTAATTATCTAAATACAGCCCCTCCAAGCTGGCTGAATGAAGATTAATTAGTTTTTGAAATAATCACTACATTGATGCTGGGGAAAAAAAATGTGGGCTGGGCTTTGGAATAAAGGCTAAAAATTAGCCCCCTTATTTTTTCCCCCCCTTTGTTTCTCTTTGTAGAAGACCAGATGAAATTTGTCTCTGTTGCGTTGGCAGAGAAAGGCCATTAATCAGCCAGGCAGATGGTCCTTCCTGAGGTCCGAAACACAGGGGAGAGCACGACAAAATCTTGCCCGTGAAAAGAAGCAACGGATTCTCCTGCTTGGACAGGCTCCAGATTTGATTCCTGAAAGGCCGCATGGCGAATTATCGACTTTGAGATGCAGAAATCAAATTTTAGGAGTGCCAAAGGAAGTCTCCAAACTTAGAATGGGATAGAAGCAGGAGGAAGCATAGAATCGCTGGGCTGCAAGGGAGCTTGAAGGTCATCTAGTCCAACCCCCTGCTCAGGCAGGAAACTCCTCTACCATTTCAGACAAATGGCTGTTCAGTCTCTTCTTAAAAACCTCCAGGGTTGGAGCACCCACAACTTCTAGAGGCAAGTCGTTCCACTGATTGATTGTTCTCACAATTTCCAAACCTTTCAGGATAGAAAGAAAGAAAGCTGTAAGTCTAGTTTTCAATGGACACATTTGTCTTTTCTCGTTCAGATTAGCAGAGACCGTTCTGGGGGAAGGAAGAGAGGTTGCTTTCTGCTTTTATTCAACAGAAACCTCCTCCACAGAGCACAGCTGGGTGTAAAGTGGTGATAAGGGAATCAACTCTTTCAGTATAACTATATTTTATTAAGCTCAGCTTGATAGGGAGATTCCTATCTCTGTCTGAGATATCAGCCCACTGGTTTCTTTAAACTGTAACTTGAATCAAAGCCAGTTTAGTAGGAAGGAAAATAATGAGATCTTCTCGAAGTTAAGAAGACTGCCTGCAGAAATAGAGAGATCTAAAAGTTGCAGTGCAGAATGCTGCATGGGTCGGCAAAATTTGTCTGCTATCTGAACCAGGGCCAGGAGATGTCAGGGTTGACCGTTTGAGTTTCACCACAAAAAAGTTTTAAAGCTCCACCGTCAATCAAAGTCACACACGCCACCAGGTTAAAATGTCTTTCAACCAGCATTATGCCAACCCAGCCAGTATCTTTAGCTTAGTGCACTCCATGACTCCAAGTAAATTAGCTGAGGTGAAATTAACTTGCCATGATTAGCAAATTGTGCAAAAGACAAGGGCTGTGTGGTGCTTCAGACTCAGTTCCCCAAAAGTGCTTCTGCAGTTCTTTAAAGCAGCTGCATCTTTTTTTTCTTTCTTTTTTTTTTTGGGACTTGGAAAGCTGCCCACCGTAGCAATCAGATAATCCTGGATAAAGACACAGTGCTTTAAAGAGAAATGCTGCCTAGTGTCTCAAAGTACCCTTGGATGAATGGAATCCAAACTGCAGCACGCAATCACAAAATAACCCCCTGGGTAAGAGAATCAGGACCACGGAGAGCACCAGATAAATCCTGTCTTTGTATTTCCTGATCTGGAAGAACTCCCCATAGGAAGAAAAATTCTCTCCGAAGTTTTCCTTGGGAATTCAATGGGACTGCTGAGACAAGACAGAGTGGAAGATCAACCCCAGGCTGAATAATTGGAATAGAATAGAATAGAATAGAATAGAATAGAATAAGGAATAGATTAAGGAATAGAATAGAATATTGAATTGAATATTGAATAGAATAGAATATCGAATAGAATAGAATAGGAAGGATGAAGAATAGAATGGAATGGAACGGAATAGAATAAAATATTTGGCAAACAGCCCAAGCAGAAGTGATTTTGCTTACAGGCTGCATGGATCAAAGTTCTGCCTTTCACATCAAGCAGCTGCAGCCTTGTGGGAAGCTAATTGAATTCCATCCAGTTACATGAAATCAAATTTCATTTTTCCCCCGGTTTGACCCATTTCTTCCTTTTAATCCAATTTGGCTCCTGGCATGCCCCTGTAAGTGAAAAACAAGCAGGAATCTGATATATTCCCTGCCACCAAGCAACCTCTAAACAAGCTAGCATTTATCCTAATGATAGGACGGGCTAGCAACCTCTCCTTTTTTCAGCTTCTTGAAAGTCAGGGGATGAAACCCAGCACGCATAATTCTTTCTTTCTGCCCATCCCATTTGCCTGGCTCTTGGCCCGGCTCAGCATCTTGTGTGAACACCTAGCCTTTGTTCCTCCTTCCTTGCACATCTGGAAGCAAAGGGTCTCCAAATAAATTCACAAAAAAGGGAGCCCTTTTCAATCACATGTGTAAAGCACGATGCTCCCAGCTCTCACCTAACTCCGCTATCCTGATGAGGTTACGCTAAAGTAACCTTTTCATTAGAGAGTAACGTGAACAGATTAACCTCTGATTAAATCTAATGAGCGAAGTTGGCTTGCAATCCTTATTCTTGGAGAATCGGGGGGGGGGGAGGGAATAAGGATCCCAAAGCGGTTTACAAGGGTGAGAAAGTGGAACCAACCCTGCCTTTCGTTTGCAGTCTTAAAGAAATGGAACTCGAAGGAAAAGTGATGGGGAGGGAGGGAGGAGAGAAAATCACCCCCCTCTTCAAGGAGGCTGATGAGATTGGATCAAATATTCAAGGTTTGCTAACAAAAATGTCTTTCCGGAATGTCAGTTTTTGAAGGCAGTAGATAAACCTGGAACTTAAAAAAAAAAAATCAAAATGCATCTTTTTTTTTTTTTTTAAAGGACCTACAAGGCGTAATGTCTAGGGAGATTCTCCATCATCCAGGTCATGGTTGTCCCCAAGGAGCTTTTCCAAAAGGCAACTGGACTCTGATTTTTTTTTTCCTTGAAAAGCATTTCATTTCTCATCCAAGAAGTTTCTTCGTTTCTGAAATGAGAAGTGAAACATTTTCAAGGGGGGGGGGGAAACCCCCAAGAAAGTCCCGTTGCCTTTTGGAAAAGCATCTTTGGGACCTACATGGCTTTGGGGCCTATAGGTGACTCTGAGCTTAATCCTGCTTGAGGCATGAAAGCTAACTGGGTGACTTTGGCTAACCACCAGGAAAATGTGAATTCTAGTCTTGACTTCCTAGGCATGAAAATCAGTTGAAGGATTTGGGGCCAATCGGTGGGATGTCCGTGAAAACTTTGAGGACACAGGCTTAACTATTACCCTTCTTTACTGCATGTCTGGGACATTTAATCTTGGTGTATATGGCTATGTGATGCATAATCTTGGTTTAGCAATGGTAGACATGATTTGTTTTCAAACCAATTTCTCAATTCGTCCCACCGTGATAATCTGCGGAGCAATCTGGAGTAGGGAGAGACCTTCACTGGTCATAGAAGGTCGAGGGCGGACCCAGTAAGAGAAGCACACACAGCCTGCGCAGAATTGTGAAGCAGGGAGAAATAAAGCCAACACCACACATAAGATCGGAGAGATAAAAAATATTTGGGGAGCAACGTGTCATAAAAACAGTACAATGCTGGGAATGTTCAGCCTGTGCTTTCGGTCTGGATCCAAGCTCTACTCTCTTAGTATTTACATTGTGGGGGCAGAGGAAAGGGAACAAACTTGCATGCACAAAGTCAAGCCCCCCTCAAACAAGGTGATCAAAGTTTTTCCATTTTTGGAGAAGGCCAGTCCGAAGAAGGAAAAGGTACCCTGGCGAAAGGGTTCCCTTTGCAGACATATCCCTTAGCCGAAGGGTCTTCCTGGTGATCTCAGTGCTGCTTCAAGCAGGAAACTCTTGAGGAAAGGGGACCAAGAGGAGAACAAAACCCAGAAAGAAAAGACCCTCTGCATTTGTCCATCTTTACCTGAAAAACCAAGAACAGAAAAACCACGCCAAGCTCTGAACGTAGCTTTGGCTTCATCAAGAAAAAAAAAATTGTGTTAACTCCTATTCGTATAAATAACTCGAAATTCAGGACGCTGAGATTGGCTCCCAACTGCTTCCCGGCATGTCAAGGCCGTTCTTTTTACTCGTTTCAACGCTGTCAATTTCAACCCGGTGACGTTTGGCGTTGCTCCGCTTTGACGGATGTTCGGCTGAGCTTCCTCCAGGCGGCTCGCCTCGGCCTCCCTCGACCAAACCGGTTTACAACGGAACAAAATCATGGACAGACGAAAAACGTGGTGTCCTTCTGAACGAGCCTTTGGAGACGACGCAACGGTGGAAGCAAAATCGTCAATCCGGGTTGCGGGACGTTCACGAGAGAAACACCGGAAGAATGCAGCTGGTGGAGACACGCTTCCAAAGAAGGGAAGAAATAACTTTTGGGGGAGCGCCAGCACGCATCTCGCAGATGGCCGATTGTCCTTAACACAAAAGTCCTCTGGGGAAAAAAGACAGTCAAGCTGCAGATCGGCGGCGGATCACGAAAGCGCCCCGCTGAAGCTGTCCAAGGTAGATTCTCATTTTTGTGCTGTCGCTGGTTTTCCTCACCCAGATCTGTCAAGGATTGGGGAGAGAGAGAGAGAGAGAGAGAGAGAGAAATGGTGATGCTGAGCAAAGCTGTCCTCGTACGGACCTGTTTCAGAACGGGACAGGCTCAATATGACGTAGGCCAGCCAGATGTCTGCTTGGATTCTGCCTGCAATTCCACCCCCCTTGGTTAAACTATTACATATAATAATAGGATTGGAAGTGACCTTGGAGGTCTTCTAGTCCAACCCCCTGCTCAAGTAGGAGACCCTATATCATTCTGGACAAATGGCTGTCCAGTCTCTTCTTGAAAACCTCTGGTGATGGAGCAGCCACACTTTCTGGAGGCAAAGCCACTCCAATGATTAATAGTTCTGTCTGGAAATGTCTCATTAGTTCCAGGTTTAATGATCTTCTACCTGTTACTTCTTGGCCTGCCTTCAGGTGGTTTGGAGAACAAGTCAATCCCCTCTTCTCTGTGACAGCCCCACAAGTACAGGAAGATTGCGATCACGTATGAAGTTGCAGTTCAGAAGGTGAGACACTACACAAGAATCTAGTCAGCTAAAACTAAACAGGAGCTAAATAAGAGTCAGCAGAATTCAAGAGGGGTTGGACTTCAAACGTGTGTGGCAACGCAAGGACTCTAAGCTAATGACCCGCTTAGCTCTGCCCTCCATCTCTGCTGCTCTTCTCCTACAGAAGCAGGAAAGATTGTAGCCTTCGACTGAGGAAACTTTCACAATCCAGCTAGAAATCAACCAAGGGCTTATCTCTCCATTTTAGCCACACATCTAAGAGCAAGAAAGAGACGACGTCATCACGGGAACCACCTGGATTTAAAAGCAACCAGATAAAAGCAGTGGAGCAGTCAAGATTTCTGTGTCTGACCCAGCGCCGGAAGAGCTAGTCAAGAGTTCTGATTAAGTTTCAGAAGAAGAGACGTGGTAAAGATCAGAAATGTTATCCAAAGAAATAATTGCTTGATGAAAATCTCCTTTCTTCCTCTGAAGGATACTTCCCCGAAGCTCTCCAGCGGGCAGTTGCCACACAACTAAGCAAGAACGAAGCCCGCAAACAATATGGCTTATCTCTCTTGAGATTTGCACCTCCAGGATCCCCCCCAACAAAAGGGAGACATTGTCTTACCTCGTTGGCTCCCACCGAGCTGATCACACAGCTGATTTTGGTGTTCTCTTTCGATTCCAGGTAAATAGCCTGGCTCTTGTGATACCTGGAAAGATAATATTGACTGATCTATCATGGGGCACATTCGTATCCTATTTCGGTTTAAAAAGAAAAGACAGAAAACCTTTGGTTTTTTTTTTGCTTTCTGAGATAATCTAAAATATTAGGCACGGGTTGAGTGTACGTGTGTGTCAAATCAAGCAGCTTTGATTTCTGGAGTGTGAATTCCTCCCTCGTGGTATTAAAGAAGCATCAGCTCCCTTGAGCTCACGGGTAGTCCTTGACTTACAATCATTTGCTTAGTGACTGTTCAAAGTTACAACACTGAAAACACGTCCCTCATATTTACAACTGTTGCAGCATCCGCGTGGGCCACGTGAACAAAATTTGAGGGCTTGTCAAACGGCATTTATTATGAGGGTCTTATTCAGCCCTTTGCCCAGATTCTGCGTTCCAGCCTGAAAAACCCGCTATTTTTGTAAATCTAAATACCATTAAGGCGCTTTAGATATTCCATTCCTAGCCATAATCATTTGTTCTTGCAAGATAATGATCCTTTTACATGTTGCCTATCAAGATAAGGGAGGAAGAAATATAATTTTGCAGCAGCCAGCAGATTCATTTAAAAAAAAAACATCGTATGATAGCTGGGGAATTTTAATTTGCACGTCAAAATTGTCCTCCTACACAGGGAAGCTATTTTAAAAGTATCGGCTTTCTGACAAACTATTGTAATTTTTTTTTAAAAAAAGAATTACAATACACGTTTCTAATGGTACACGGGGGATAGCTATGCTGAGCATAGGAAAATCTGTGAAAGGAGAACAAAAACAACCAGGAGCATTCTGAAATTAAACAAAACATTTAGCCTAATATAAGAAACATTCTATTATATGCAGAAAACCCCCTAACCAGGGAATTCCAGTGCTAGGAGGGAATGGGGTTTGCAGAGAAGAGAAGAGGGAGGGAGGGAGGGATGGAAGGAGGGAAGAAAGGAAGGTAGACAATTAATGACAGGGAAGAAAGCTTGATGCTCTCTGATCTGGGTTGTTTTCTGGCAGATGTTTTATTACCCAAACTAGGTAACATCATCAATACTAGAAGGAAGAGAGAATTGTGAAGAAGAGGAGGAGGAGGATGTGGGATCCTTGGTGCTCTCTGAACTTGATTGTTTTCTTACAGATGTTTCACTACCCAGCTAGGTAACATCATCAGTGCTAGAAGGGAGTGAGATTTATGGAGAGGGAGGAGGAGGAGGAGGAGGAAGATCAAGGACAAGCCCTTTTCCAGCCTAGCCTACGCAAACATTAAAAACTGGTTACATATCCAATTGCTTTCATCAAGCCTTACTAACACCAGGTCACATGTTTTCATTTAAAACCTTTTAACTTAAAACAGGTGTTTTTTTATGGAGGGGGGTGTCCATCATTAACTCTGAACAGTCCTTAAGGGAGCGGTCATTAAGCGAGGACGGTAGATGGGATCTTTTTAAAGATATGGCAGGAATGGGGAAAAAAAAAATCAAAAGCAGAAAGAGAAAGAGGAAACCCCTTTCTGATCCTCTCCTGCCACCTTGTGGCATAAAACGCTCATTACAGTCTTGATTTCCTGGATTTCCATTTTCCCTTGCATTTGGCTCCATGGGGGGGGGGGGAGACTTTGGGACTACGATTCCCAGAATCCCCCTGCCGGGACAGTCCCTCTGAGCTCGAACAGCCATTAATACTCTCCATACTTAGCTTCTGTCCCAGCAGGCTTTCCACGACGTTTACAAAGAAGCATGACTTTTTCTGCCCCTTCTGTTTGGAAGCTTCTTATTAAAGCTGCTTTTGAAAAGCCCCCCCCCCCGTTCTAGCCGGGACCCTTACCATCGTTTATCATAGTACAGCTTCCCGTCTTCTATCCGTGCCTCAAACCGCTGGGCTGGGGATTCTGCCGGCATCGTCGGAAGGTGCTCGGGTGAGGAAGGAGACGCTGGAACACAAAAGAGGACTTTGCAATCGGCCGCGGATTCAAACGTGGCCCTGAACTCAAGCAAAAGAAGTAAATGAAAGATTTTGTTTCCATTAGCTAATTAAAAATGAAGTGAAAACAATGCCCGCGGTGGTCCTACTCACCTGGTCTTTTAGGTGACTTAAGCTATAAAGGAAAGGAGAGGAAAAGCGTTGAAAGAAAAGTCACAAAACACTACCCAGAAAATGGATTCAACAAGAGAAATTCATTTTTAGTTGTTAAGGTTTCCGCTATATGGAAATGAAGGGCTATTAACAGCTTTTCAACATTTGTCCCAAGCGTCTAGCCCTCAACAATTCTGTTGGAGACCACGCCTGTCTGCCGGGTAAAGAACGTCTGCTGGATATGAATCCATCCTTTTTCCTTACACGTTTACGATAGAATATCTAGGGAGATTCTAATCACCACGATCAGGATTGGCCCAAAGGTGCTTTTTTCCCCAAAGGCAAATGGACTCCCAACTAGCTAACAGGATCAGGGCTACTGTTTTAACTTTTTGCAATGTTTGGATGTGATCGCTGTGGTGACGAGTAATATAGAAAATAAGGAGGGTTCCTTTCACATCAACATCTGCCTTCAGACGACACACATAAAACCAGCTCTTCCTAAGAAAAACAGGATAATCGCTCAGATTCAGAGAAAATAAAACTGGGGTGATTAGACAGAAAACAAAGGTTCCCCCTTTCCCCCCCTCCCCCCTCGCTTCTCCTACCCGTGCTTACTTTATTCAAGGTCCTCAAATCTTCCATTATCTGCTCATCTGTTAGGAGATAATTGAGCTGAGGTGATACACATTAAGGGCGTTCTCCATAATGATAATCAATCCAGAACAGTCACATTAACCGCTTTGGCTTTGCCAAAACAGCCCAACCGTGCCATCTCATTTTTCCATGCCGTAACTGAGAAGAGGGCGTGCTGTACTTCGTTTTTTTAGCCACTGTTGATTGAATATTAATGAACATGCTGGGTTTTTTTTTTTTTTTTGCCAGGGAGGGGAAGGAAGTGGAAACGCGATCGTTAATACTGCCCTACACACCAAACGGCGGTGCTGACATCTGGAAGCAAAAAAGTCAACTTTAAGACGAGCGGGGGGTTTTTCGGCCAAGGCCACAAGAAAAAATAGGATTAACCAGAATGTAAAAGGGGACCTCAAGCGTTTCCAAACACGCCTTGGACTCTCTCCCTGGCCCAGATGTTCGGCCACTTCTGCAGAAGGCTTCCTGGGGCCTGCCATCCAGGATGGGGAGAAGCCACTCCTAGCCTGAAGAACCCAGCTCCTCCTTGACTTACAAACCACAATTTCCATGGCTAGACAAAAGTTTTGGCGAAGCGAATGGGCACGAGTCACCGTTGGCCATGCTGTTACGATTCCGAACAGCCGCTCAATGAACGGTTGTAAAGCAAGGACCGCTGCTACTGGCCAGCCTTGGCCTTAGGGCAAGGTCCCGTTGCACAAAGGATATCTGGAGCTGGTTTCCTCCTTTTGTCAGGAATGGGGACGGGATCATTCGGCCTCCTCCGCAATTTCCTTGTCATGATCGGCTTCACTTCCATGGAATCTGAAGAGGATTAACAAACCAGTTGGATTGTAGAGGCCACAAAAAATTTCTTTAAAGACACAGAAAAAAAAACAACACCTTAGCACTGAGGCATCATAAAAACTATTTCTTTACTCCCCACTCCCAGCCCCAGATATATTTTTCACATCCATAGAACACAGAGTCAAAGGGATAGATAGACAGACACAGACAAATGATAGAGACAGATAGACAGATGATAGCAGAGAAAAATATATATGATATATTGAGGTAGACAGACAGATAGAAAGAATAACTTTGGTCACTTTAAATGTACACTAATCCGCATACATTAAAATGAAATTTTGTTGGGTGTGTCTAGTCTAATGAAAAGAAGGACTAATTTATTTATTTATGAGACTTATATACCGCTTTAAGTGCAAGCACTCTCTAAGCGGTGTACACCAGTAAGCAATGTATATATATATTTACATTGCTCCCAACAATCTGGGTCCTCATTTTACCTATCCCGGAAGGATGGAAGGCTGAGTCAACCTTGAGCCAGTGAGATTTGAACCGCTGACCTGCTGCACACAGTCAGCTAAAGTGGCCTGCAGTACTGCACCCTAACTGCTGCGCCACCTCGGCTCATATGGGGACATGATAGCCGTGTTCCAATATTTGAGGGGCTACCACAAAGAAGAGAGTCAAGCTATTTTTCCAAAGCACTTGAAGGCAACAGAAACAATGGATGGAAACTAATCAAGGAGAGAATCAACCTAGAACTAAGGATGAATTTTCTGACAGAACAATTAATCCATGGAACGACCTGCCTCCAGAAATGTGGGGGCCTCCCAACACTGGAAGTTTTTAAGAAGAGATTGGACAATCATTAATCTGAAATGGGATAGGGTCTCCTGCTTGAACAGCGGGTTGGATTAGAAGGCCTTCAGGGTGAATTCTGTGATTCAATTTCACTGAATCTCCAAAAACCAGGTTGACTTTTTGTAAAGATTCTGTTGAATCTGGGCACTGAGTCAGGGGCATCCAAAGCAATTTGTCTCAACAGCTTGGAGAAGTTTTAGCCTCTGCTTTACCTCCTGTCAGTTCCATGGTGAGCTTCTCACTCTCAATCATCTTTTTTTTCTCTTCCAATTCTGCGATCAGGCTCTCCTTCAGCTCGATTTTTTTATCCTCAAACTCCTTCACTGCTGCTTTCTTCTCTTTGATGTAGTTTCGTTCCACCTGCTCTGTCTAATCCACACCCAAAAAGAAAAAGGAGAGAGTTTTCAAGGAAGGCAAAACTTAGCTTGCTCTTAAGTTTGTTAATTCCTTAATTGGCTGCCTGACCCCATCTTGGATGAGGTTCTGATAGGCTAGATCCAAAATCGTCCTCAAAGGATCACAGCCACTTTGTTTAAATTTGGGTGAATTTACTCCACATCTATTTCAGCTGGAATCCAATGCAGCAAACAGAAATAATCCTGATAGTCCTAACGTAAAATAGTTTTTTTTGTAAGATATACTTACTTCCAACTGAAGAAAAAGCTCTGGAAGAAAAAAGACATAGCAATTATTAGAGGGAAGAGAAAAGCATATTTAATTTTAGTAGAATACTGGAGTTGTTCCGACATAGGTTCTCAGACTTACAGCCGCTGCAACATCCCCCAGGGTCATGTGATCAAAAGTTAGGGGCATGTATTTATGACAGCTGTGCAGGGGGTTGGACTAGAAGAACTCTAAGGTCTCCAACCATTCTAAACGGTTGGTGGAAATGGGTCTGGCCTGTCTAGAGAAAAGAAAAACTAGGGGGGACATGATAGCAGTCTTCCAGTATCTCAGGGGCTGCCCCAAAGAAGAGGAAGTCAAGCTATTTTCCAAAGCGCCTGAAGGCAGGACAAGAAGCAACGGGTGGACACTAATCAAGGAGAGAAGCAACCTGGAACTAAGGAGGAATTTCCTGAGAGTGAGAAGAATCAATCAGTGGAATGGCTTCCTTCCATTGGCTACTCTAGTACTGGAGGTTTTTAAGAAGAGATTGGACAGCCATTTGTCTGAAATGCTATAGGGTTTCCTGCCTGAGCAGGGGTTTGGATTAGATGACCTCCAAGATCCCTTCCAACTTGTTATATTATTATTGTTGTTGTTGTTGTTACCTGCATTGCGAATCCTCTCTTTATATTGCTGATCCAGCTTCTTCATCCTCTTCTGATATTCTTGTAAGGTACCTATGGAATAAGAAGTCACAGCATGAGAAACTACAATCGTGCGGCTCTAAAAAGAAATCTTCTCCCCGATGTTTTTTTCCCTTTGTGGAGCCGGGGTGGGCGTGATGTACCCGGCCCACGGGCTGCCAGTTTGACAGCCCTGTTCCAAGTTGATGCTCTTCTTAGTTTCCATTCTTTCTCGTCCTGTCTTCAGGTGCTTTGGAGAATAGGCTGACCGCCTCTTTTTTTGTGGCAGCCCTTCAAATATTGGAACCCTGCTATCAGGTCACCTCTTGTCGTATGTCTTCCTATGTCTGAGCGTTCAGCGGCTCATTTGGCTTTCCACTGGGAATTCGATGTCAAAGTTGTTGGACACATGTTGTGCACGTGCTAGTGGGGGATTTGAGCCTTCCAGCTGATAAATGAAGGTCAGCAGGCATGCGTAGGAATGAGTTGAATAGTTGCAGAACCAACTATTCAGGACTAACAAACCTTTTTTGGGGGTAAAAGTTTTTATTAATTTTTTTCCATACATAAAATAATAATTTTTCAACCCATGTGCTGTCTGAGTTTACCTTCGCTAATACATATTTAATTCCTCATCCTTTATTCTTTCCCCTAGCCATCGATAAAATAAGTCCCAAGTTTGATAATATTCTGTTTCTTCTTTTTCTTTCAGTATCATAATCAATCTGTCCATCTCTGCACATTCTAGTATTTTTTTTATTATTTCTTCATCTGATGGCGTTCCTTCATTTTTCCAATATTGCGCACATATAATCCTTGCCGCTGTTGTGACGTGCAAGATCAAATATAGGCTTTGTTAGGACTAACTAACCTTCTTGTAAGCATAGTTTCTTTTCCCCCTGAAGATCTTGTAAGAGACCAGATCCGAGAACTGAACGTTCCCGTGTAGGCAAACTCACAAAACTAAACGGGATCGTAGTGGGCAATTTAGAAGCCTGTCTTACCTTCCTGTAGTTGCTGCAGCTGTCTCTTTAGCGATGCCAATTTATCCTGGTATATCCTGAAAAGAGAACAGGTTTTAATGTTCTAAGCTGCCCAGAGTCAACAATAATGACAATAATAATAAAAAACAGGAGAATAGTTGAGGAAGAACTGGAGAAGATAACAAAATACAAACAACAGCAAAAAGAAACAGAATGAGCGTGGCAAAAGAAAGAAAAGGTCCATTTTGAATATCCAGTGGAAAAAAAGAGTCTTGAGAGTTAACAAGGTTGATACTCCATGGTGCAAAGCTGTGGTAATACTCACTGTTCCTTCATTTCTACGTAGTCTTCCTCATCGTGTTTCGCCAGATCAGTTTCGCTGGCATCTTCCGTATCTAAGCAACAGGATCAGCATCATGTCAGAAAACATCAAATAAGATGCTTTTGGCTCAAGCATTTCTGCCAGGTGACCCTGCAGGGCCAAAGCTGCTCATTGACTTTTTTTAAAAAAAGGCTCTAGAGATGTTGGCCCTCAGCAGGGGTGAGTTTCAAAAGTGGCAGAGATGGGCATTGTGGTCCCCCACCCAGAGTCTCCATTCTTGGGAGAAAGTAATGGGTGCTGTGGTCCAGACACCAGAGATAAGAAGTGATGTGTATTGTGTTGAGCCCCTACAGCAAGGATCCGCAACTTTAAGACTTGTGGACTTCAACTCCCAGAATGCCTTCAACTCTGGGAGTTGAAGTCCAAAGTCTTAAAGTTGCCAAGGTTGAGGACCCCTGCCCTACAGTCTCCACTATTGGCAGAGAGTGATGGGTATTGTGGTCGAGCACTTGCAAGCACTCTAGTTGGGGCAGGTGCTGTGGTTGGGCACCTGCAATCATTACACCCAGTAATGGGTATTGTAGTCTCCAGACACGAAGTGATGGGTGCTGTGGTTCATCCCATGCAATCTCCAGTGTTGGCAGAGAATGATGAGTAGTGAGGACCACAAGCCAGTGATGGGTATTGTGGTCCAGCCACAAGAGACTGGAAGTTATGCTCTAGCCCCTACAATCTCCACTGCCTGCAAAGAGTGATGGGTGTTGTGGTCCAGCACTCGCACTCCCTTTAGCTAGGGCACAGTGATGGGTACTGTGGTCCCACAGTACAGCCAGTGATGGGTACTGTAGTCCAGCCACATCCTCTGCCGTTTCCATTGTCGGCAGAGGACGATGGGTGTTGGGGCCGAGCACCCACCCACTACAGCCAAAGGGAGGGTTAGTGCGGTTCAACCTCCAAGAAAGTTATGGGCCTTGGGGCTCACCCCAGGCCGTCTCCATTGTCGGCAGAGCACGATAGGTGTTGGAGTCAGGCCCCTGCTCTCACTACAACCAGAGCAATGGGTAGGGTAGTCCAGCAGCCACCCAGAGCGGAAGTGACGGTTACCCCCTCTACCCCCTACAGCTCCCACCGCCGGCAGGGAGTGATGGGTGTTGGAGTCGGGCGCCAGACCAGCCGGGCTCACCCTCGTCGGAGTCCCGCGCGCGTCCGCTGCGCTCGCCGTCCTCCTCCTCGGGGGGGCTGTCCAGCTCCTCCTCCTCATAGCTCTCGGCGGCGGCGGCGGCGGCAGCGGCGGCGATCGCGGCGGCTCCGGCCCCCGGGGGCAGCGTGGAAGCGGCGGGCGGCAGCGGCGGCCCCGGGGGCAGCGCGGGGGAAACCAGCGCGGCGGCGGCGGCGGCGCTCATGGCCCGCGAAGCAAGGCGCGCCTCGCCCCTCCGTCCCTCCGATCCGCGGCGGCGGCGGCGGCGGCTGCAGGGAAGCGCCCACAGAAGCGCGCTCCTTCCCCGCGCAGGCGCAGCAGCCGCTTCCGGGTCCGCGGGGGCGTCTCCCACCTCGTCTGGCCCGTCGCTTTTTCCGTAGATCTGTAGGCGGGGCATTGCCCGCCGGCGCCGACCCTTAAGGGCGAGCGTAGACTCGTTCTGTAGACTTGTACGCGAACCGCCTTCTTCCGGGCTACGTTTGCTCGTCCCTTCCGTAATGCTTGGTCTAGCTAGCCTTGTGGTTCTCAACCTTGGCGCCTTGAAGTTGGGTGGACTTTATTATTATTATTATTATTATCGATCATCGCACAGTCAGCCAGATGTTCAGACTGGATTTGGCATTTTGTCTACCTATCGAGTCCTTACCCAGGACCTGGGATAGGCAGATGTGGATGTTTGATGGTATTACAGATATCGTCGCAGGATGGAAGCAGTTCCTAATAAGGCGCCTTTTGCAATTGACTAATAGCGAATTTGTCAATGCCAATGGTGTTCAAGTGGTGCTCCAGTTGTTTTGGGATTGCACCCAAGGAGCCTATGACTATTGGTACTACCCTTGCTTGCTTTTGCCACAGTCTTTCTATTTCTATTTGTAGGTCTTTGTATTTTGTTATCTTCTCCAGTTCTTTCTCTTCTATTCTGCTATCTCCAGGCACTGCCACGTCCACTATCCAGACTTTTTTGTCTTTCTTATCGACAATTGTTAAGTCTGGGGTGTTATGTTGCAGGTGCTTGTCTGTTTGAATTCTGAAGTCCCAGAGCAGTTTAATTTTATCATTTTCTATGACTTTCTCTATTTTATGATCCCACCAGTTTTTGCTTACAGGCAAATGATATTTTTTGCAGATCTTCCAATGCACCATTGTTGCTACTTTGTCATGCCGCTGCTTGTAATCAGTCTGTGCAATCTTCTTGCAACAGCTTACCAAGTGGTCCACTGTTTCTTCAGCTTCTTTGCATAGGCGGCACTTACTGTCTGTTGCTGTCTTCTCAATTTTGACTTTGTATGCATTTGTCCTTAAGGCTTGGTCTTGTGCAGCCAGAATTAGTCCCTCGGTCTCTTTCTTCAATTTTCCTGCTCTTAGCCATTGCCAGGTTTTATTATTATCTGCTTTCCCAGCTATTTTTTTCATGTATTGGCCATGTAGTGCTTTGTCTTCCCATGCCTCTATTCTGTTCTTCATTTGGTCTTTCTTGTAGGCCAGTTTGGTCTCTCCAGTAGTTAGTAAGCCTTCCTGATATACTAATTTCAGTGCATCTTCATCATTGTTCTTCAGATATTCTTCCAAAGCCATTTTTTCTTCTTCAACCATCTGATGTACTTGTAGCATTCCACGCCCACCTATTTGCCTTGGTAGATAAAGTCTATCAATGTCACTGCGTGGATGAAGGGCATGATTCATTGTCATTATTTTTCTGGTCTGCCTATCCATTGCTTTTAGTTCTGCTTGAGTCCAGTCCACTATTCCAGCTGTGTACCTAATGACTGGGATTGCCCAGGTGTTGATTGCCTTTATGGTATTTCCTCCATTGAGTTTGGATTTTAAGATCTTCTTCACTCTCTTGATGTATTCACCTCTAATCTTTTTCTTGACTTCAGTGTGCTTGATGTTGTCAGCTTGAAGGATACCCAAGTATTTGTAGTACTCTTCCTCATCCAGACTCTTAATGTTATTTTCGTGGGGCATCTTGATTCCTTCAGTTTTCATTATTTTTCCTTGTTTGATAGTAAGTGTGGCACATTTGTCCAAGCCAAACTCCATTACAATATCTTGGCTATATATACGGACAGTGTTGAGCAGCGATTCTATTTCAGATGATGTTTTTCCATACAGCTTCAGATCATCCATATAAAGGAGGTGGGATAGTCTGGCAGATGTTTTTGATGTTTGATAGCCATGTCCTGAGTTATTCAGTATTGTTGACAGAGGAAACAGTGCAATAACAAATAGTAATGGTGATAATGAATCTCCTTGAAATATTCCTCTCTTGATATTAACCTCTCCCAGCCTCTCACCATTGATCTGCAACTGTGTCTTCCATTGTGCCATCGATCTTTGCACAAATTTTCTGATGTTTCTACTGACTCCTGTTATTTCTAGGCACTTTATTATCCAATCATGTGGCAGAGAGTCAAATGCCTTTTTGTAGTCAATCCATGCCACATTCAGGTTGGTCTTCCTTCTCTTGCAGTTTTCCAAGATCATTTTGTCTATTAGGAGTTGATCTTTTGTTCCTCTGCTATTGGGGCGGTTTCCTTTCTGCTCAGGTGGAAAGAGATTGTTTTCAACTAGATGCTGTTGCACTGCATCAGCTACTACACCAGTTAGTAATTTGAAAGTTGTTGGTAAGCAGGTAATTGGCCTGTAGTTACCTGGTGTTGCCCCTTTTGCTGGATTTTTCATTATTAGGTAGGTTTTCCCAGTTGTTAGCCACTTTTCAATTTCTCCTCCTTGTAGTATATTGTTGAACTGTTTGGCAATGAGTGGGTGTATAACAGTTAGATGTTTCAACCAAAACCCATGCAGTTCATCTTCACCTGGTGCTGACCAATTTTTGATTTTCTTTGCTCTTTTTTCTACCATTTTTGTTGTTATTACTAGTTCTTTCATTTCAACTTCTGTTTTATTTGCATCCACCTCTTTTAACCAAGCCGCATCCTTGTTGTATTTCTTTGGGTTATCCCATATCTGCTTCCAGAACTGCACTGTTTCTTCCTTGTCAGGTACTGACTGATTCCTTGCAGTTTCTCCATTGATGGATTGGTAGAAACGTTTCTGATTGGATTGAAATTGGAGGTTCTGCCTATAGTTTGCAATTCGAGCTTCATATCTACTGATTTTCCTGGCTATAGCTGTTATTTGTTGCTTTATTATTTCCAGTGCTTCCTTGATCTTCCTTGTTTCTAAGTGGTATTTCTTGATTAGGTATTCTTTGGTCTTCTTGTTCTTCAGCTTCTTTTCTTTCATCTGTTCTAGCTTGCTTGCATGTGATCTTAACTTGCTGATCTTATTTTCTAGTCTAACCTTCCATTTTTCTGGTGCACTGTTTGTTTGTTTTTCTTCTTTGTTGATTTTGCATCCCAGGTATTCTGTTATAACTGCAGCTGTGCTGTACATTAGTTGGTTTGTTTCTTGCAGTGAATTGGTGCTTATACTTGATATTGCAGTATTTGCATCTTTTAATGCTTGTGCTAGCTGTTTCTTTGGAACAAGCTTCAATGCAGGTAGCCTTATTCTGTTGTTTTTGTGCTGTTCTAGATGCTCAGTTATTCTTTGTTTCAATTCTTTTATTTCTTTAGTTAGAGGGTTTTGTTCTTCCTGAGGGTAGAGGTGCCTGGTTTCCAAATGAGAACAGTTGTATATCTCTGCTAGATTCCTTCACTGCCAACTCCCCCTGGTTTGCCTCTACATTCTGAATTACTTCTGGTAAGGCTTTGATTTCTTTGCCCTGGGTAAACCTTTGCAGTTCGTCCAATTCTGTTTCTGTGAATATTTTATTTCGTGTTATAAATCGGCGTTGATCTGCTAGTCTCTGTTCTGTTATTTCTGATTCTGGATGTTGTTCTTTCCAGAATTGGTGCATTCGTTTTAGATATCCTCTTCTTGTTGGACTTGATCTGTAGTAACAGATCATTATTTCTTTGTTTTCCATCACTGTGTATCTGCGACGGGTAAACACCTTTTCTTCCAGTAGTTCTGCAGCTGCTGGCCCTGGTTGCTCAGCCAACAGTCCTGAGTCCTGTAACCCATTTTTCACCAGATATCCAGGAACTCCAATATCTAGTGCGGACCTTGTTAACCCGGGCGACGTCCGAGCCGGTATGGCATTCTGAAATTTACGTCTCACCATATTTTTTATGGGAGAGACACTCTTTGTCTGACTCCTCTGATGAGACCTGTCCAGTATGGTTGAACCTCTGGCATAGCTCTCATCTTCCTCAGAGTACACAAGCCCACAACCACGTCAAGGTAGTGCCTTTATTATTATTATTATTATTATTATTATTATTATTGTCGTCGTCGTTGTTGTTGTTGTTGTTATTTAGACGTGAACCTCAGTCAACTGAACATTCAAATTGACTGGCGCTGATGGTTGACATGGGTTGCTGCCAGCAGCCTAGGTATCAACCAGGTACCTCCTTAAAATGTAAGATGTTACAAGTTACAAAACTTTTCAATGGCATTTTAAGGCTACTCTTTATTATTAAAACCTTATTAATATTAATAGGGCATCATAGTCCTCCTTAACTAGGTTGAAGGCTTTTGAAGCAGATTTCTTCTTCCGCGCCTGTGCGTTGCAGCAAACGGGCCTCCCCTGGCCCTGTTCATAAGGTGTTAGTACCGTTAATAAAGACAAGAGAATATCGTCATTTTAAAATGCCATTAAAAGCGTTTATTTCTTTTGGTGGCCGCAATACCCATTTTTGACCACAGGAGGGCAGAGCTTTCCGTCCCGTAGCATTAACGTCGAGGCCTTTTGCCCAGCATCAGGACACCGAGAAGCTAAGCCGCAAAGCGCAGAGCGTCGCCACTCTATGCTCCTCCGAAAGGGACGGGCCGCTTCCCTCGGCCTTCGGCGCATGTCCGCCGGCTGGTTCTTCCCCAGCAATCCAGCAATCTCCCAGAGGCCTTCTCGGCAATGGCGGACTTCCTGTCCCTGATCTCGGCCGTTCCCCGGGTCCTGTGAGAAAAGCACCTTTCCAAGATGGCCGACTTCCGGCCCTTCGCTCTTAATCGTTCCCCCAATTTCCTTTCACAGAAGACCTTCTCTGCATGTCGGACTTCCCGTCCGATCAAATCCGCCGTCCACCGGGGCCTTTGAAAAACGACCTTTCCCGTCGTGGTGGTGGTGGAAGGAGGTAAGGGGATGGGCGAGCGGGCCGGGTTGTGTCACACTCTGCCTTTGCAAGGGGCTGAGGCAATGTGAGATGGAGGGGGGGAGGAAATGCAGGGTTGGCGGTTCAGGAAGGCTGCGCTTGTCCCGAGGCACCGACGGTTCTTCCGGCCTGCTTTTTGTGGGGCGGAGGGTTGGGGGGAGAATGCAGAACACATCTGCCCATTTGCAGAACGGATGTGGCAGAAATAGCATCCCTTGGCGCAACCTGGAGTAAACAAAACCGGTTTCAGGCCATTATGTCAGGGTAGGCCAGTGTTTCTCAACCTTGACAATTTTAAGGCATGTGGACTTCAGCTCCCAGAATTCCACAGCCAGCAATGCTGGCTGTGGAATTCTGGGAGTTGAAGTCCACATGCCTTAAAATTGTCAAGGTTGAGAAACACTGGGGTAGGCCAAGTCTTCAGAAACATGGGCTTTGACAAGCAGCACAAGGAACTCGTCTCTCTGGCTTTTCCTTTGAGAGTCGCTCAGGGTTTACGGTTGGGACCAACTCCCAGTTACTGTGTTTGTGAAGTTGTGCTTCGTCGCTTGTGGTGATGCTGTTTGTCAGTTGTATCTTTTCTGCATTCTTTCCAAGGTCCCAAAGCACAGGAGAAATTTAAGCGGCTCGCGTTACGCCGAATAAAATGGGATGAGCAGAAAGGAGATGGTAAGAAAGTTTTAAAGTCATCAAATGACCTAGAAAGGGGCCAGCCCTCTTTTACATCGAGCCGGTTCTGAAATTGAAAGACTGAAAGGAAGTTGGGGGCAACCGAAGGGAACGTGGATGGCTTCGTGAACTGGTCCTTTACTATCGCCAAAGGTTCGCTTCTTTTCGTGAGCTACTGAGCTTGCAGAGGTCTGTATCCTGCCTTTTCTAAAGGAAGGGCAGAATTCTCACCTTCTGTTTGAATAAAGGATGTTTCCAATCTGACCGATCTTGAGTGTACTTTTGAACAGACAAATCCCTCTTCAGTTGTTTCCCCATTCTTACACCCTAAGCAGTTTATTTTTCTTGCAGATGATGAGGAATCTGTGAAAAAAAACCAAGTAATAGTAATAGTAGTAAAGTTGGAAGGGACCTTGGAGATCATCTAGTCCAACCCCCTGCTCAGGCAGGAAACCCTACACCATTTCGGACAAATGGCTGTCCAGTCTCTTCTTAAAAACTTCCAGTGTTGGAGCATTTATTGCTTCTGGAGGCAGGCTGTTCCACTGATTAATTGTTCTCACTGTCAGGAAGTTTCTCCTTCGTTCTAGGTTGCTTCTCTCCTTGATTAGTTTCCACCTGTTGCTTCTTGTCCTGCCTTCAGGTGCTTTGGAAAATAGCTTAATTCCCTCTTCTTTATGGAAGCCCCTGAGATATTGGAATACTGCTATCATGTCCCCCCTTGTCTTTCTCTTCGTTAAACTAGACATACCCAATTCTAGCAACCGTTCCTTATATGTTTTAGCCTCCAGTCCCCTAATCATCTTTGTTGCTCTTCTCTGTACACTTTCTAGAGTCTCAACATCTTTTTTACATCGTGGTGACCAAAACTGGATGCAGTATTCCAAGTGTGGCCTTACCAAGGCATTGAAGAGTGGTATTAATACTTCATGTGATCTTGATTCTATCCCTCTGTTAAGGATGATCTATCCCTCTGATGGATGATCTCTGGCGGGCCTGAGATAGGGGTTATTCTTCTGTCTTGGTGCTACTTGACCTCTCAGCGGCTTTTGATACCATCGATCATGGTATCCTTTTGCGACGGCTTGAAGGTGTGGAAGTGGGAGGCACCTTTTTACGGTGGTTCTCCTCCTATCTCTCTGGCCGGTCGCAATCGGTATTGGTGGGAGGGCAGAGGTCAACCCCGAGGCCCCTTGAATGTGGTATGCCGCAGGGGTCGGTCCTCTCTCCCCTCCTATTTAACATTTATATGAAGCCGCTGGGTGAAATCATCAGACAGCACAAGGTGAGGTTTCATCAGTATGCTGATGATACCCAGTTATATATCTCCTCCCCAAGCTCTCTCAGTGAAGCGGCCGATGTGATGGGCCGTTGCCTCGAAGCCGTGAGGGTCTGGATGGGGGTTAACAGACTCAGGCTCAATCCTGACAAGACTGAGTGGCTTTGGATGTTGCCTCCCAAGGACCATGTCAATTGTCCAGTGTTGACTCTTGCGGGGGAAAATATACCCCCTTCGGAGCGGGTTCGCAACTTGGGTGTCCTCCTTGATCCACAGCTGAATTTGGAACATCATTTGACGGCTGTGGCTGGGAGGACCTTTGCACAAGTTTGTCTGTTGCACCAGTTGCGACCCTACCTGGACCGGGAGGCTCTCCTTACAGTCACTCATGCCCTTGTCACCTCACGCCTGGACTACTGCAACGCGCTCTACATGGGGCTACCCTTGAAAAGTATTCGGAGACTACAGTTGGTCCAGAATGCAGCCGTGCGAGTGATAGTGGGTGCTCCTCGATACACCCACTTTACACCTATCCTCCGTGAGCTGCACTGGTTGCCTATTGGTCTCCGGGTCCAATTCAAGGTGTTGGTTATTACCTTTAAAGCCCTATATGGCTCAGGGCCAGGCTATTTGCGAGACCGCCTACTACCTCATAGTTCCCTTCGTCCGGTTAGATCTCACAGGCTGGGCCTCCTTCAGGTCCCGTCGGCCAAGCAGTGCCATTTGGCGGGGCCGCGGAGGAGGGCTTTCTCTGTGATGGCGCCCACCTCTTGGAACCAGCTCCCCCCGGAGATTAGGACCGCTCCCACCCTGTTGGTTTTCCGCAAGCTACTTAAGACAGGCTTACTTTTCCGGCAGGCCTGGGGTTTATAAAACCTGACCCCTGGATGACTGTTTTTGTACTGTCTGTATTGTTATGTTTTATGTGTTTTTTTTATTGTTAGCCGCCCAGAGTCCTTCGGGAGTGGGGCGGCTTATAAATTTTAAAAATAAAAAATAAATACTAATAGTGCAAAAATTGCTAAGTTATATAACCGGAAACAAAACACAAGTCTTGTATCATTATTTTTCAGAGTTGCGTAATAGCAAACCAAAAGCCACGCCAATCTTGAATATGTTCACCCCACCCCATCCCCAAGCTTTATAGATCACCTTTCTAATCCTACCATCAGGGATTAATAATAATAATAATAATCGTCATCTATATCTATCATCTGTCTATCATCATCTGTCTGTCTGTCATATCTATCTATCATCTGTCTATCATTATCTATCTATCCATCCATCTATCATTTTCTGCACTGGATGTAAAAGCTCTTGAGATCACATTCTGTCTTATTCAGTTCCAAGAAGTGGTTCCGTTCTTTTCACTTAAAACATTTATTTCCCTTCTCTGAAAGCTTGGTCCCCAAAGCATTTCTGGATTCTGTTACCTTCAGTGAGGGAAACATACCAAAATGGTCACGTTATTGACCAAATTTTGGGAGACTTAGGTCACTGGAGTAAATTCATTTTTTCTCTCTCTCCTGCCTGCTTCCTCCGTTGTTGTTGTTGCCGTTTTCCTTTGAAAATGGCATAAGTCTTCTGAATCTAGAGGAAGCTGCAATAAAGTTGAATTTGAATAGGGAACCAAGCCTTGATGTTCTCTGCACCCACAACTTCCTGATGGGGAAGGGGAGGGAGTGCATTTGAGCATGGGGAAAAAAAAAAGGTGGGGGGCTTATTCCTTTTTGTCTGTGGTCACTGAAAAGATTGGGGCAGTTCAAGAAGTATTGGAGGGCTCTTCCTCCTTACAAACAAGGAAGCGTTCTCCGCATTTGAGTGAGCTGGTACTAATGATAGCTTAGTTTTGCTTCCTGCTAAATCTCGCCTGGTGTGGGGCAAGTAGAAGAACAGGCATGACTGGCAAATATCCTCTGGGGGCCCTAGTGACTGTTTATTATAATAAAGTCTGGATAGTGTACATGGCAGTACAACTGGTCCTTGGGGGACGGCCACAATCGGCCCCAAATTTTCTGTCGTTAAGTGAGACATTTGCGAATAGGAGTGGAGTAGGGGTAAGTAGAGTAGAATAGAATAGAATGCAGAATAAAACAGAATGCCGAATAGAACAGAACAGTAGAATAGAACAGAACAGAATATAGAAGAATGGAATGGAATGGATAAAAATTCCTTTGGAATTTGCGATAGGAAACCTGACCGCTTGCCTTACACATTTTCCCCCTTTCTGGCTAGGTCAGTCTTCTTAAGCCCATTCAGTAGAATTAGGGAAATCTGCTACAGATCTGTTTTTCCAATTTCTCACCAAGTAAATAATCAGATTTGAGAGAGAACAGGGGAGGCTTAATCTACTCTGGCAGAGTGAAACATGAGGTTCTTGTTTGGTCCGATCAACGGTGGAGGAAGGGAGGTATAAGTTGTCCTTGACTTATGACTATAAAACAGCCCTAAATTTCCTCTCTCTCTCTCATCCCTCTATCTCTATCATTTATCATTTATCATCTATCTATCTCTCTAATCATCTATCATTTATCATCTATCTATCTATATCTATCATTTATCATCTATCTCTCTATCATCTGTCTATCATCTCTATCTATCTATCATCTATCATTTATCATCTATCTCTACCATCTATTTATCATTTATCATCTATCATTCTCTATATATCTATCATCTATCTGTCATCTATCATTTATCATTTATCATATGTCTCTCTAATCTATTATCTATCTACCTATCTATCCACCTATCTATCTATATCTATCTATCTACCTACCTACCTCACTTGAGGTCAGGACAAGAAGCAACAGATGGAAGATCTTTAAAGAAAGATCTCAACTCAGAACCAAGGAGAAATTTCTTACAATGAGAAAAATGACTCCCCTATTGCCAAGGCTATACTTCCATGTGCTTCAGCTGAGCATAGCTCTTAAGCCAGTTGAACATTTCTTTTTAGATAAGAGGAAATTATCTTCAGGTAAATCTGCCAAACTCTGGATGGCCACTAGATGGAAGGAGAGACCCTTAAAACTCTTATTTCATTGACTTTGCTTGTCAGAAGGTCGCAAAAGGGGATCACTGCGGCCGTCATAAATATGAACCAGTTGACAAGCATCCAAATTTTGATCACGTGACCCTGGGGAATGCTCCAGCGGTCATAAGGGTGAAAAAAAGTCATGTGTATTTTTTTTTTAAGTGCTGTTGTGATTTTGAACTGTCACTAAACTGTTGTAAGTTGAGAATTACCTGTATTCCACATACAGACTGGTCTTCTCATTTATTCAAAACTATTTAAACAACTGCAGCGCCAAATGTTGCTTTCGGATCTGAAATAATACTTCTTTTATTAACCTACGGGTCGGATGCAATCTGGATACTCTCATAAATTGGATAAAAATAAAAGGGATATATATATTCGTAGCTGGAAGATTGTGGTTTTTTTTCTATCACTGTTCGGTATGTTGCATTCTTGCTATTTGTTGCGCAATGATCAGAGTTGGACAAAGGCGCTTCACAATGAGACGGGAGGTATATAAATTTAATAAATGAATAACCCCAAACTTGGGAGGTTGGGGGGGAAGCAGAAAAGAGTTTCACCTAAAAATAAAGGCCGGAGAGCCTTTAAAATATTATTGCTTTTATTTTGCAAGATATCAAGGAGCCAAAGCTTATTTGTGGAGGTTTGTTTATTATTTCAGTGTATACGTCTGCCCAACTG